AAAATAGTCTGGATTATGATTTTCTCATTTAGTGGTGTTCAATTTTTCCTTTTAATATCAAGAAGGCTTTTATGCACATGTGCCTGCTTTGGAAATCTTTGCAGAACACCAAGGAGACTGCACATGCCCTCCGAAAGTTGCCTCTTGTCAAGGCCAAGAGATACTTGGAGGATGTGCTTGCCCACAAGCAAGCAATCCCCTTCACCCGTTTCTCTGTGGAGGTGTTGGAAGAACTGCTCAGGCAAAGAACAGGCACTCTAATGGGCAGGGTCGTTGGCCTGTGAAATCGGCCAAGTTTATCTTGGATTTACTAAAGAACGCTGAAAGCGATGCCGAGGTACTCCTATTGTTGTTTTCTTTCCTTTATTTCCTTTTGCCATTATTGATATTTATTATATATGATTCATTGTGGTTTATTTTGGCTAGAAATATATTGTTCAATTTTTTGGCAGGTGAAAGAATTGGATGTGGATGCCCTCTTTATTTCCCACATTCAGGTTAACCAGGCCCAGAAGCAAAGGCGCCGCACATACCGTGCTCATGGACGAATTAACCGTATGTTGAATGTTCTTGTTTTTTTTCCCAATTGGTCAATGATTGGTCGGAAATAGTGTGTACTTTATATATTTATTAACGTATTTTTATACGCTTAATTTTATTGCACTTATATGTTTTCGACTTATTTATTTATTAGATGAATTCAAATGCTATGATATTTTTATGTTTTATTTTTAGGATAATTGGAGATTTTTGTGGGCCCAAATGAATAAGCCCGATTGAAGGCCTTACATGGGCAAATAATAGTGGAATAATTTGGCCTAATATTGGACATGCAATCATGCTGGACTTTTATTGGTGATAAGAATTTTAATAACTGAAAAAGGAGACTTTGGGGAGCAATTGATTAATAAGCCTGGGGGACGCATTCACGCAGTGGAGTATTTATTTGGAAAAGTCAAAGAATAAAATTAAGGATTATTTTCCTTTTCTTAGGAGACAATTAAGAAGGGAATTTGCCAAATTTACATATATATATATATATATATAATATTCACGCAGAAGAGAGGCAGCCGCTGGAAACAGAGACAGAAGGCAGATACGCAAAAAGAGAATAGCAGAATTACGAGGAAGCCGATAGATCGTGGAGGGAGACCGCACCCGCACACGAGAAGGATAATCTTATTCTTCTCTTTCTCTTTTATTTCGTATTTATTATGTTAGAGTAGATTTTATTCTAGTTCCGGGGATATCGAACCCTACGTACTTGATGATGTTTGATTGATTTATATGGTTGATTATTGAGTTATCTCTTTGGAATTGTTTGTGTTATTTTGAATAATTAACCATGATGTGTGAGGCTTATTTAGATTGATCACCTAAATTAGGCTTTTCATATCTACACCTGAATTAGGCCTTCAATCCGTAATTGTTGATGTGTTTAATTCGCAAGTGGTATCCGGAAGATAGTAACTACCGGGGATATCACGGCCTATTTAAGTGAACGAATGCGTCACTACTTAGTCTAGCCTATTTTTCTAATTCATAAAGCGGCTGATTGTATTAAATCTAAGAAGCGTCTTCTAGACTGTACAAGAATTCAGGTCTAATCGTAGAGCGTCTCGCGGTTAGATTAAAAATAAGGAAAAATTCGGGTAACAGACCGTGTCGTTACCTAGGGCTAGTAATTCCATGAGATAGCGAGATTTGATACTAGAATTGATTAGATGAGTCGGTCGAGGATGTAGACGGAACCGTGAACTAGAAATTTCTCTTAATTAATTTATTTTTATTTTATTTATTTAATTAGTATCTTAGTATTAAATCCAATCCCCCCTCTTTTATCGCTTTTATAATTCAATTAATACAATAAAATTAACGATTTGATACACACTCCCTGTGGGATCGACCCTTACTCGCCACTACTACTAGTTAGTAGAGGTTAGTCGAGGAAAATATAAATTTAATTTTGCCGCATTGCGACGCGCGGTCAAATTTTGGCGCCGTTGCCGGGGAGTAGTGTTATTGAATTGTGATTTTAAGTACTAATTGAATTATTTTATTTTATTTTATTTTATTAGGATTTTATTTGTATCATCTTTTACCCCCCCTCTTTTTCTTTGTTTTTGTTTACTTGCAGAATATTGGGTGCCTAGTACTCTGCTGGACAGAAAAGTTTGACCCCATACTCGCGGGTTAATTGACGCTTTTGATCGAGCTTGGCGCAATTTTTCGAGATGGCAGCCTATTATCACAACTTTTATACACATCAGGCACCTTACCAGTATGAGAAGGAGATACGAGGCCCATGGATTGAAGATCGAGGCGTAGGAGGACCTAGTGATTGGCGAAGGTACGGGCAAGACTACATGTACCATGAGGAGAACGAGTACGGTTTTTTCTCTCAAAAATACTTTCGTATTTTTCAGATGGCAGCCTATTATCACAACTTTTATACCCACCAGGCACCTTACCAGTATGAGAGGGAGATACGAGGCTCGTGGATTGGATATCAAGGCGTAAGAGAACCTAATGGTTGGCGAAGGGACGAGCAAGACTATTTATATCCCGATGAGTATCAATACCACTTGAGAGAGCACTCGAACTCTTTCTATGGGTACTCCGAGCCACCAATTGAGCGAGATCCCAACCCGTCGCTCGAGGATATGATAGAGGCATTGACGTTACACACGTTGAAATTTCGGCAAGAGTATTGCGAGCCATTAGTTGAGAGAGATCCTGGTCCATCACTCGAGGATATGATGATGGAGTTGACGACTCACACTCTTAACTTTCAGAAAAGTGTTGGAGTGAGCATCAAGAGCCAAGAGGAGAGCATCGAGAACCATGGACTGCGCATAAGGAATTTACAAGTTCAAATGAGCCAATTGGCGGAACAAATGGACCGACTAGTTTGTCGTCTCGAAGCAAGTCCAATGAGTTCAAGCGTCACACATTCATGCTGTGAGGATCTCGAGGAACCTGAAGAGTGTACATACGAGCCGGAGAACGAAAAAATCACGAATATAGAGAAAATGGAGTTGAAACAGCCCAGTACGGGGGTACCCTATACTCTGCCTGTTGCACCCAGTACTCGACCTGCTGGAGCCAAAAAGCGTACCGTTCTCCATTCTCTTGTGCCGATAGAAGCTGAACCATGTCTTATCCCTTCCAAT